CGAGGCTGTCCCTCCCTGTGCCATGGCGGTGTCACCTCCCAAGGGCGCCGGCGGGGGACAGGGACATTCCCCCCGGTGGCACGTGGGATGGGGAGCAGCAGGGATGGGCACCCCACGGGGGCTCCCCCCGTCCCCGGGGGAGAAGAGATGCTGGGAGGGGGCGGGGAGGAGGGGACAAGCTTTGGGGTCAGTTTGGGGACTGATGGCAGAGGGTCAGGGGTCAGCTTGCTGGCACGGATCCTGCACCCCTCCAAGCCCTTCAACCCCCCCACCACCACCAAGCGCAGCAGGGCCAGATGCTGCGTGCCGGTCCAGCGCCACATCCGAAGTCACCGCTGGCACGCGGCTGCAGGTGCTAGCGGGGCTGGGACAGCGTCCGGCTGGAGCCGAGGGGCCGGATCTGGCAGTGTCACCACTGTCCCCTCCTTCGCAGTGGCCCACGCTGACAGGGGGAGCTGCTGGGGCAACTGCAGTGGATGGGCTGCGCTCCCCGGCTGCTTGATGGCACCTTCATCATCCTCATGCTCCTCCTCCCTGTCGGGTCCCCAGCAGGCTTTTGGCATGGGGCTGGCTCGTCCCTGAGGCAGGACCAGGGACTTCGGCGCAGGGGGACGCATGTGCCAGGCAGACGCCATTCTTGCCTCCAGGCCTGACGCCAGGGTGATGGGCGCATGGGGCTGAGCTCTTCCCGTGGCAGCCGTCACCGTGGCACTGGGGCTGCTGAGCTTGAGCCTTTCCAGCACGGCGAGGGGGCTGCCTCCCTGCACCCAGCGATGCTCCAATGTCCCCCATCTCCCTCCTCTTCCTCCCCAGCTGTCACCAAAGGACTCTTCATCCTCTGGGCGGTGCCGGGCCAGGGGGGGAGGCCCCTGCAGCCCCCCACCCTGCAGCAGATCCAGGCGCTGGTGAGGCACATGGCCGAGGACGCGCAGGAGCTTTTCGCCTTCTATGTGAGTCCCCTTCCCCAGGGTGAGGGGTCGCTCCTGTCCCCTCCGTGGGGGGACATGGGGCTGGCAGGGGGGTCCCTGTGCTGCACCCGTCTCACGTCCCTGACCTTTTCCCCCACAACCCCGGGCAGGAGGAGGACCAGCACCTGTCAACAACCTCTGCCGCAACAACCGCCCGCCTGAGTGGCTGCGGGGACCAGTGATGGTGCCCGGGGGGGTGCGGGGGACCATGGCCCGCATGGCCCAGGCGCTGCAGGACATCACCCGGCACCACCGCGACCTCAACCCCCCCGGCGCCGAAATCCTTCGCCGCTTGGCCAGCACCCACCTGAAGGTGCGAGGGCTCCTCAGCAACCTGGAGGGGCTCTTCCCGGCCCCCAGCCTCTCCCCCGGCCCCC